ACATGTGATAGGGAGATCATAGAGGTGAGTTAACGTGCTGGTTCTAGCCTCGCCCTTTATTGAATGATTGGACTAGCTCGCAAAAGAGTTGAAAAGTGGATGAAACAAAAAGAAAAAGGTTGGCAGTTATATGTTTGTTAGTTGGCCTCGTAATCATGTGCCCGTTTCCATTTCCGTATTCTCCAATGATTATGAAAATACCGCTAGCTATAGAGCCAGGTAGTAGCTCGTTGGCGAAAGGACGAAAAGATGAATAAAGGTTAATTGCTTGCTTTCAATCCGGGAAATACTCAAAAAGGCTCTACCCACCTGCGTCCACCCCCCAGGGATTCAACCAGCAGCAGCTTATCCACTGTCGGGAATGCCAACTATGCCTGATCGGATCACAAGAGTCATCGTATATAATGTCGATGCCCTTCCCTCCTCATCGTCCGCTCAGCAGCCACTACTGGTGAGCCCTAATTCATCTTCGAATGCTGCAGGCTAAAGCCCCTCAACGTCCTGCAGTAGTGCCATGGACCTTCCTGGACGCGCTGGATACAAGCCCGACCCCAGCCTGCACTCCTTCCCCGCTCCCTTTCCACTACAACCAGATGACGCAGATGATGATGAGGAGGCCTTCCCCATTTCTGGTACCAGCTGAAGAGAGTCGACAAAAGCAGCTTGCTGCTGGTGTGGCCACCCGATCATATGCAGATTGCCTTAAGGGCCCTTCGGTCACTGGAGATAGAGAAGAGTTTGTGAAGCTGCCCTCCACACAAATAGACTCAGATGGTATTCCCTTTGTTGAGTGGGAGGAGGAGAGTCTGCTGCTAGCAAACAGCAGATACAGATTTTCTTTGATAGCACGATTCGCGGTGGTAGGAGGCCTACTCTCAAGGAGATTAGAGAGTGGTGCTCCAAGGCATGGAGCTTGACTGGTAAGATCTCTCTTTCTGCTCTAAGAAAAGGTTTGATTTGGATTCATTTTGAATGTGAAGAAGACATGAACAAAGTCTTGGAGAAGGGGCAATATCGGGTAGGGAAGACCGCGATGTTCTTGCATCGATGGTGCCCGGGGCTTGACTTGGATGAGTTGCTCCTATCGACATGGGTGGTTTGGTACGAAATGAGTGGAGTTCCTCTGGGACTCTACAATGCTTGGGGGCTTAAAAGCTTAGTGGGAATGGTGGGAAAATTCATAGCTTTTGTTTTGATAATCAAACAAGAGCACTCAGCCGCCCCATATCGGTCCGAGCATGTTGCGAAATCAATGCTCGGAGAAAACTACCGGAAGAAAAATGAAGGTGAAGCTGAAATTGAGAGGGAAGGAGCAGGCCATTCCCATCTTAGTCGCTGCTTTCCTATTGGTTTTCTTACTCTGATCCCGATGGTGTGAGAGTGGCTTTTGCCTAAGCTGCCTTTCATAGCTTTCTTGAGGGGTGAAGAGCTCGGTAGCTAGGTCAAGGGGTTTTCCAACTCAAGATCTTTTTCATTCTACTCTAAAGACAGAATCGAATGAGAAACCTAAGGTCTACTGCTTCTCCTTGAGCTGCACGACACCGGTGCGGTGATCTCTGACCACTATATGATCAATCAAATGCGAAAAAGCTTTCTGAAGGTCAATACACTAATGGGTAGAGCAGGTTTCTCTTTTCGTCTCTAATGTGCCTGCTTGCCTAATCGAACGTGATCCCTTCGTCCACTCAATCCCCGGGCATGGCTGACTTATTGATTGAACTATCAGAATGAGTCAGGTCAGCAAGGCACTGATTGCACTCATCGAATGTGATCTGAAAACGACTAAAATCAATAAAGGGTCGAAAGAATACCTGAGAGAAGGATGGGCACTTCTCATAGTAGGCGTAGGCCCGTCGCCCTCAAACTCATACCTGTGATTCATAATAGTTTGAGTGTCCCCGCCCTTCTTCCCGTACAGAGTCTTTCAAACTCAGCTGTCTTAAACGACATTGGCGCGGTACTCTGATATGAATAGATCAGATCAATCGACTGTTCCGGCTAATCACGAATCGAAGGGGAATGGGAGAAAGCTTTTAGTTCGCCTTCATTCCATAGCTACTTAGTACCTCGGATCCCTTCTCCTTTGAGAACTACCACTACCACTAAAGACTGTTGGATCACTCATCAATGTCATCAGCTTCAAATGATGGCTTTGGGGAAGCCTTGGATGACACTGACACCGAGAGGAAAAGGGTTCTTGATGGCCGGCCTACGAGGTTCGGAACTAAACTCCCTCTGATCTTTGCCATTCACCCGCTGACTTGAAGTTCCGTGCTTGCTTCTTTCATAAAGTAATCTAGTCTGTCTTTAACAAAGTCAAGGTCAAGCGATTATCTCTCTTCAAATGGCGTTTCCCAATGCATGCCGTTAGACCTCATAGAGAAATAGCTTAGATAATCTCCAGCTCGTGCATCTTTTCCATAGGGTGAATTTCTGGATATCAAGGCTGGGAACTTCCCTTCTTCAGACGAGTGCCCGCTTGTCTCTGTTGCTTTTGCGCCAGCTGTCTTTCAAGGTTCATTGAGTCAGCTCGGGAGCTAGGTTCAGATTAGGAGACCAGTAGTACAAGATCCTTGCTTCTTTTGTTCTCTTTCCTCGGGCATGAACTCTGAGGTCAATCAGATCTGCTTTGAGTGCGCTTTCCTTTTTCTCTCTTTTTCTTGCTGCTGTTCGATTGCTTTTTGTTCATTCTTATTGTTTTCTCTCTTGAAAAAACTTTGTTTGGCTGGTATACGAGTAGGAAGAGTCTCAGTCTTTCAAACCATATCTGTCTGATTGCCTTTCATTTCTTTAAAAAGCTTCCCGCTCCTCCTAAAAGACAAGAACTAGAAGCTAGTCAAGAAGTTGAGATTCTAGCCATAACTTCCATTTCCTATATTTGAAAGAGGACCTTCCTCGTTCTTTCGTCTACTCTGATTGATAGACTACACACACGTTTTGGAGTGTTTTTCAGAGCACAAAAAAGCTGGAGATGGAGAGAAAAAAAAAAGTAAGCGGGGTGCTTTATCTCGTCCCTCCCGGTGTCCCCATTAGTTGATATACGGAATTGGAAAGGAATTCCAGATCATTTAGATTTCAGGCGGAATATAGATAGAATCGAGAGGGAAGAAAGAGCCCGGTTTCAGAGGCTTGATCAACTTTGTAATCATGGATCATCAACAAATCCCTAAATGCTTCTTTATACTGTCGCCACGGAAAAGGTTCAGGTAGGGAGAACTCTTAGATTCTCAAGGTTTATATAGTCTTTTTGAAAATTCATCTCCACCTATGTTGTGCCCTTCCCCCCAAAGCATTCCGGCATCTGTTATTCCTGGTCTCACCCTGTGAAGCAAAGTCGGACAAGGGAAGGAAAAAGACATGGAATTGATAGGGAACCGTAGCCAAGTGGCTAAGGCATGAGTCTGCAAAACTTCTATTCGTCGGTTCGAATCCGACCGGTTCCTACAGCCATTCCACCCATCATTTTTTTACATGGTTAGTGGATAGAACGGGGGCCTCCGCTTGCTCCTTCGTACTAGTAACTTTTGCTTACCTATCTTTTCCCATAGGACCAAGGGCCTTCCCCATTGCCTGCCCTAGTTTCCACTTTTTTGTAATCGTTTGTTGGTTCGGCTAATTATCCAGTGGCAGCTCTTTCTACGGCTGACGAGGATTCATATGTTTCGGATGGGGATAGTTATGCTGATGCTGATGCCGAGGCTTATTCCACTACGGATACAAAAAGAAAGAAAAGGGATTTCAAAATTCATTTGATTCCTTCCCCGAGCCCACCTTTAGCCCTTGCTTCAAAACGGAGTAACTGCTAGCGCGCAACGGCTTAACTTGACGTAGCCCAAGCTCTTTCTCAGCACAAATAGTAGCAACCAAAGCTAGGAGTTCTTACTCAAATAGAGCTAGCTAGAAGGAGTTCCTCAAGAGAGGGTGCTTGACTTCTTAACTTCTAAGCGTTGAGCTCCACTACAAAGGAGAGAGTTCCTTTCGTTTTTTTATTTGTTGCTTGGCTTATAGGTATGGGTAGGTGCCTTAGTGGGATTGTCGATAAGCAACACCTTGCAAGTCGTTTTTCTTTAAGGTTTCAATAGTATGGGAAATCTGGGAAAGAGGAATAGACAATCTGGGAGGTACAGGCCCGGCCCGGCGCACGAAGCAGGAGGAAATCGGTACCCCGCGAGGCTGGCGAAGTCGGCACAAGAAGTAGGCGGAGTAGAGGCAGTTCAGTAGCAGTTGTAGAGCATTGCTGTTGTCTCTCAGGTAGGGCACAGCACAGTAGTTGCTGTTCTCTTCTCTGTTGCATAGGCATAGATGGGGTAGGCAACTCAAGCAAGACAGAACTACAGAGCTAACTCAATACAGAGCAACAGATAGCTAACCCAACTAAAGAGTCGCGCATAGTTGTAGCTACAAGAAGAAGAGCAACAAGAAGAGATAGCTGCAAGACTAGAGAGCTTTATAAGCGGTACGTACACACATGACACACTGAGTAGCTAAGCCTCGCAGGCGTAGGGCCTTGGTCCGTAAAGCCCGTAGATCGCTGAGTGCCGCTTAAGTCCGTTGCTACAAGAAGAAAGAGGTAGCTACAAGAATAGCTTCAAGAAGAGCGAGCTAAGCCAACTCCCTACGCACAAGCCCGCGGGTACAACTAGCGCACTTAACACTGGATATGCAATATTCGAGCTGACTTTTTCTGAGCACGAATTGCATTTGTGTTTGCTGGACAGCGTAGAAGCCGCATATCGTATTGCTTTGAGGGTCGAAGGACCTACTGGTTCAGCCAAGAACCAGAAACCGAATGAAGGAAGCGAAGGTCAGAGTCAAAATATGCCGTGGAGAAGAGGCTATGGTGGAGGACGAAGTCACAGGAGATTCGGTAGAGGAGATTCTTTAGACAAATGTTGTAGTAGTGTATTTTCCAATAGGACAGGACTTTGCTTCGACTTCTAGACCCATATGTGTTTTTGACTGACTCTCGTCATGGTAGGCAGATGTTCGAACTCTCATGACAAACTGGTGAAAGCCAGTCGGCGGAATTCCTCCCTCCTTCAGTGCGAGAAAAACTATTAGATCTACTGTCTACCTGTGCTTCCTTATTTGTAAACTGGATCTCGCTTAAATAGCCTAGGGGCTTGATAAGACCTATATCTTATATAAGTCATTCCATCCCCTCCCTCACAGACAGAGAGAGGAATTAGTATCAGAGACATGCTTGACTAGAGAGAAGGAAAGCATGACTACCACTACCACAGACCGACCGGATTGACTTTCCGGGCAGACAGAGAGGCTAAGGCCAAGGGAGTTTCGAAGCCAAGAGCTAAACATATGCATGGGCGTTGGCGTGAGGGGATTTGTGGGAATCATAGAGGGCGGATTTCTAGCATTTATTAAAAAGATCTCCATCAGCGGACATGAAAGTGAAGCAATAGCCTGATTAGGCACCTCGAAAGGGAGTTCGTGAGTGACCTAGTAGTCGTACGGGATAAGGACAAACAAAGTTTCCAATGAAGAGGGAAGAAAAGGGAGGAACTGGTTGCCCTAAGGCCGATGAAACTGTCTCTGTCTCAAATAGGGGAATGCCAACGGCTGAAACTCTTCTTTGAGTTTGCCCTTAAGATCAGACAAGAAAGAAGCCGATTCTGTTTGCGGGAAAGAGAGAGCAGAGGATTTTCGACCAGTTCTTTCTCTTCTTTCTTTTTAAAAGTTACGATCAGGTAGTTCGCTGGCTATGTCTTTTTCTTGCAGAGGTGCTGGTTCGAGTAAAGCTCGTGACTTTTGTTTTTCCTCCTTTAGGTGAACGAAGAAGAAGTCAAACTGGAAAGCCTGATATCCGGGGATATTTATAAGATTAAAGAGGGGGACGAACCCTTAGAAATCTGGAATGAAATAATCGGGATTAAGAACGGCAAGGTCATCCTGTACAAAGAAGTTTAGACTTATAGTCTGTCTTTCTTCCTGATCCCTCACTAAAAGAAGAAGGTTGAATCTTCTAGTTCTTGAAAGGGAGTGAAGTGACTCACGGGTGTGAGGCACGAGCGCTAAAGCTCCTTCTTTCTTTGCTTTCAAGTCTCTTCTTTCCGCGTCTTTAGCTTTCTCCCTTCTTGATCATTGGTCGGATGGCTCTTTCTGTCCTCCTATCCTAGATGAGTGTGATCAAAGAACTTCAGACGTCCTTACGTAGATGGTACGAAGGCCTAAGGAGGAGCTATGCCAGGATGGACGTTAGTTCAGCTCGACCTAAGGTCTCGTACGACAGGTAGAGGTTCGTTAAGAGCTCGACCATAGGGAACGAGTTACATACTTTGAAGGGGGTTTTAGGGTGGAAGGGACAAGGGAGACC